ACACTTTCTACTCTTGTTTGAATTATACTATTACATGTAGGTACATTTTTTTTGTTCGTGTAAAAATCGCATACTGTATTACATCTACGATTACACGTCCATCAAAACTATCCATTTGTCCTTTATGGTGGTCAGCCTTCTTGCGTTTTTTTCCGGGGTGTACAGGGTTTTTAATCCGGAGTTTGTTTGCCGGTTTTTCTAATTCGTTTATTAGTTTTTTCAGCACGTTCTGTTGGCCTGATGCCTTTTTCTATTGGCACTAATAACTTTTTGTCTTTACATTCATTGTCACAACACTCGATCACCCGTCTGATTAAATTCCTCCTCTCCACTATATGTATTGTAGCACCACGTTTTCTTAAATCCATAGCTGCAAGGACCGTCCAAAACAAAACAGAACTCAATACGCAAACATAAGAGACTGCACTGAATCAAATGACGTGACCACATGATGATAACCACTTACCAAAACAAAGATATGAGTTGTTTACAACAGTTGTTTACAGACAGACATGGAGGCGAGGCGCCCAGATGCTTAGCGCCTGCAAATAGTGCGCGATACCCTCCAAACATAGCTGCGTATTGCTCTGGCTCAAGGGACTTCTTTACTCTCGAGGACAGTATATTCCTGATCATTGGGACGGGATTACATTTGAGGGGTGTGGGATGAATCGAAAATGCATTGGAATTCCAATTTGATTTAGTGATGATCAAAATAACGATTTGAATCATGGGCATTCAGTGTCCATATACGTTATTGAATCAGTATCCATATACGTTATTGAATCCGTATCCATACGCTATTGAATCAGTATCCATATATGTTTTTGAATCAGTATCCATACGTTATTGAATCCGTATCCATACGATATTGAATCAGTATCTATATACGTTATTGAATCAGTATCCATACGTTATGTAATCAGTATCTATAGGTCTTTACGGTATTGGATCAGTATCCATAAATACGTTTTTGAATCAGTATCCATATACGTTTTTGAATCAGAATCCATACATTTTTGAATCAGTATCTATATACGTTATTGAATCAGTATCCAAATACGTTTTTGAATCAGAATCCATACGTTATTGAATCAGTATCCATACCGTATTGAATCAGTATCCATAAATACGTTTTTGAATCAGTATCCATACGTTATTGAATCAGTATCTATATACGGTATTGAATCAGTATCCATATACGTTTTTGAATCAGTATCCATATACATTTTTGAGTCAGTATCTTTATACGTTATTGAATCAGTATCCAAATATGTTTTTGAATGAGTATCCATACGTTATTGAATCAGTATCCATGCGTTATTGAATCAGTATCCATATGTTATTGAATCAGTATCCATATACGGTATTAAATCAGTATCCATATACGTTTATGAATCAGTATCCATACATTTTTGAGCCAGTATCTATATACGTTATTGAATCAGTATCCATATACGTTTTTGAATCAGTATCCATACGTTATTGAATCAGTATCTATACGTTATTGAATCAGTATCCAAATATGTTATTGAATCAGTATCTAAATACGTTTTTGAATCAGTATCCATATACGTTATTGAATCATTATCCAAATACCTTTTTGAATCAGTGTCCATACGTTATTGAATCAATATCCATATACGTAGTTGACTGTTACATTGATACTGTTACTTTGACTATCAGTATCCATATAACTTATTGACATTATTCAAATGATTGACTTTAATTATATAAGTTATTCACTGAGACATTGCTTAGCCATACAAGTTATTACCATCCATGTACACGGCATACACTGAGACATTGCTTAGCCATACAGGCTATTGCCATCCAAGTACATAGCATCCACTGAGACATTGCTTACCATACAGGTTATTGCCATCCAAGTACATGGCATACACTGAGACATTGCTTAGCCATACAGGTTATTGTCATCCAAGTACATGGTATACACTGAGACATTGCTCAGCCATACAGGTTATTGCCATCCAAGTACATAGCATACACTGAGGCATTGCTTACCATACAGGTTATTGCCATCCAAGTACATGGTATACACTGAGACATTGCTTCGCCATACAGGTTATTGCCATCCAAGTACATGTCATACACTGAGACATTGCTTACCATACAGGTTATTGCCATCCAAGTACATGGCATACACTGAGACATTGTTTAGCCATACAGGTTATTGCCATCCAAGTACATGGCATACACTGAGACATTGCTTACCATACAGGTTATTGCCATCCAAGTACATGGCATACACTGAGACATTGCTTCGCCATACAGGTTATTGCCATCCAAGTACATGGCATACACTGAGACATTGCTTCACCATACATGTTATTGCCATCCAAGTACATGGCATACACTGAGACATTGCTTCGCCATACAGATTATTGCCATCCAAGTACATGGCATACACTGAGACATTGCTTCACCATACATGTTATTGCCATCCAAGTACATGGCATACACAGAGACATTGCTTCACCATACATGTTATTGCCATCCAAGTACATGGCATACACTGAGACATTGCTTCGCCATACAGGTTATTGCCATCCAAGTACATGGCATACACTGAGACATTGCTTCGCCATACAGATTATTGCCATCCAAGTACATGGCATACACTGAGACATTGCTTCGCCATACATGTTATTGCCATCCAAGTACATGGTATACACTGAGACATTGCTTCGCCATACAGGTTATTGCCATCCAAGTACATGGCATACACTGAGACATTGCTTCGCCATACAGATTATTGCCATCCAAGTACATGGCATACACTGAGACATTGCTTCGCCATACAGATTATTGCCATCCAAGTACATGGCATACACTGAGACATTGCTTCGCCATACATGTTATTGCCATCCAAGTACATGGCATACACTGAGACATTGCTTCGCCATACAGGTTATTGCCATCCAAGTACATGGCATACACTGAGACACTGCTTCGCCATACAAGAAGTTATGGATACCTTGTAGTTCTGATTCTATCCTCTTATTTTATCAATGTAAACCAATTAAAAGATTCAGTATTTAATCTTACAAAGGTTTTTATTTGTCTACCCCCAAACATATCTTTTTTTATAAAATCAATAAAATAAAATAGGTAAAATGTTTAACAATATGATGCTGCAAGTAAAAATTATGAAATAGGCATGAAGCTCACTGATATTTCCAGAAACACTGGTTCTTCTAATTTATGATTGAAAACAGATATTTCACTCCACTGACAAGTATGAATAGAAAAATTCCATGTTGCTTTGAATCAAGTTACATCAACATTTTTTTAAATCGAATCGTTGCTTTGAATTGAAATTTTTTGCTGCTTCACACACCCTTACATTTAATACGGGATTTTCTCGGCATGTGATTCGTTTCGATTGTCAGTGATTTCGCTGCGTCGCGAGTGACAACATATGTTGACGAAGGTACCGTGACCGCGAGATGAAAAAAGGTGTAGTAACATGGAGAATGGACCGAGTTTTTGGTCGGGATTTATATAAAAATGGTAATGAAAAGTCGGGAATTCCATTTGAGAAATCTGGTAGACACCCTGCACTTAAATTAATTAAATAATCACATTAAAGTCTGGGAGTTCGGAGATCATTATCCATTTTGAACAACTCACTACGCACGAACAGCAAACAAACAACAAAACCAAAACATAGGTTAAACAATTAATTTGACATTTTTGCAAACTCACAACAGCTGTTTCAGTTCAGTCAGAGAGAAACAACATAAAATAACGATAAAAATACATTGCTAAATGGCTTTCTACAATAGTCACCATGAAGCCCTGAATTAGCTGAACAGTTTGTGGGGTCTCATATCTTATAATGTCATAGCTTATAATCGTGAATTTGTTCCATAGCTTATAATCTTAAAAATGGGGCATAGCTTATAATCAGTTATAAGCTATGCCACACTTTCACAAACAATTATTAACTATTCCACAATTTTGAGTTAGGAAACACGAGTTTAACTAGTACCATTGACTATATACACCTTATGTGTATTATATGTATGTATTAAATGCTTGTACCATCTGGCAACATTGCCTTTGATCTGACAACATGACGGCAGCTAGAGTTCTGTTGTTCGTTTTGTTAGTTGTCACTGTTGTCTTAGTGTCAACTGAACACAGCTTGTCATTCCGTGCAAAATCATTAACAACTCCCGCAGTCATGGAAACGTCATGCGCGATTGCGGCAAAATCATGAACATCTCCCAAAGTCATGTAGACATTATGTTGTCCTCCCTGGTTGCGGCAAAAATGATATCATACCCACGGCCGTGTAAACATCCTCATTCACTCCCGCGGTCACGGAAACGTCATCGTCGTCTTGCGCGATCGCGGGAAAGTCTGTGGCAAAATCATGAACATCTCCCACGGACTTGTAGACGTTATCATCGTCTCCCACGGTCACGGAAACGTCATCATCGTCATGCGCGATCACGGCATAATCATGTACATCTTCTGCTGTTATCAATGACTCTCGCGGTCACGGAAACGCCATCGTCTTCATGCGTGATCGTGGCAAAATCATGAACATCTCCTGCGGACGTTTAGACGTTATCAACAACTCCCACGATTATGGAAGCATCATCGTCATCATGCCCGATTGTGGCACTAGTGAATGTTTTTTTCCACAATCTCAACAAAATTAATAATATCTTCTACAGTCACGGCTAAATCTAGACTCACGCGATGACAACACCTTGGACGTACCGTGGCAAAATATTGTCCATTTTCCATCCTGCTTCTTTGCAGACACTTTTTACGATCGTGGAAATAATAGCTGTACTTGACTTGCACTGAATCTTATTTCCAGCCCAAACTGATTCCCCGGATCAACTGAGAGCCCGTCTTGACCCAAATATATCGGGGCCCGCAGACCCCTGAATTTCAGTTCCTAATTTCTAAGAATGATTTCTATCTCTTGTCGTCTTATACATCAGATCTGTATTTTACAGGCCAATGTTAAGGAGCAGTTAATGACTCTGTGTCTGACACTTCCATTTGACACCAGTCGCCATTGTAGTCGTCTTGTATACCAGCACTGGGAGGATTTGACTGACATGGCTGTGGCAGAGTTCACTAGTGATGAGATGTGTCTCTACCTCAAGTACTGTCCTGCAAAAGACACACATACCCAGGCTGTGTCTAGTGTTTCTGGTGGAGATGTTGGTCAGTTAAACTTCTCATTACTTTTTGATATTTGATGTTTAGGAATAATCTTTTCAATAAAAAGAACCTAATTGTTTATACACATTATGTGTTAAAAGTTAAAACGGTTTTTTACAGGAATTTCTGTAAAAGTTACCGTGAATAATGAATGTGAATTTTGAAAATTTGCCTAGAAAACCTGATTTTACTCATCGCCTAAAATTAAGTGTAATAAGTATTAGGGGCTGACTGAAATTTAATTAATAGACCTACATCCAAAAATTAAAATAGTCAAAAACATTTTTATTTATCTGTACTATTTATTTTGTTATGTGCCATTTTGTCATAACATAGATTTAAGACAAATTCAGAAAGGTTTAAAACTCAGTAACATTTTCTATGGTATTTGCTTGCGTAAACGCTCATGAAACTCCATAAATGCAAGAAAAAACCTGCATTGTGGACGTTTTCTGTGGTCACAGTATAAACAAGAACATCTTTCACGATCATGGCATAATTGTGACACCTTCCAAGGCCACGAATAAATCAAAAACATCTTCGGCGATGACTGATAAATTGTGAACATCTTGCATGGTTACAGTGATTTTTTAATACTTTTCAATGAAATGGCGACCATACAAAGTAGGTATTTTAAGCCAAGTATGAATGGAGATGAGTGTAGGATCTTGTAGTCTTGTTAGTGACTAAGGCTGACTTATTTCTTAGACACAGCTGTTAATTAAGCCCATACAGCTAATGGTAACTAAGGTACCTACAGTTTATAGTGGAATCCGAACCACATTTTTGCCTTGGTATATACGAATTGGTCTAATTTTCAGGATAGTACTGCGGATAGTTGTAGTACTCACTCGTGTGGACGTTAATCCACACCAGGGAGTATCGCATCCACAGTGCATGTCTATAAATATCCACAATTCGTAACCCCCTAGTAGCTGGATTACAGGACTATGCCCCCGTCCCAGTTTCTGAAATTGATTCCGCAAACACTGCTGTACGTAGATGACGGGCTTATAGCGACAAACAACACGGGAATGCTTCAGAACTTCATGGATCATCTGACGAAGGAGTTCAAAATCACATCCAAACCAGCATCTTTCTATTTAGGCCTATAAATAGAACAGAAAAGTGACGGAAATGTTAGAATATCGCAGAAAGCGTATACAAAGAAAATTCTTGAACGCTTTCAGATGAGTGACTGTAAACCAGCTCCAACATCCATCACGAAAGAGAACGAAACGCAACCAGCAGGGAAAGCAGAGATCTCAAGAGACAAGTTTTCCTACAGAGAAGCTGTAGGTGCTCTGATGTACCTGATGACAGCAACTAGGCCAGACATAGCCTATGCTGTGAGTAAAGCATCGCGTACTCTTGAAAACCCGTCTCACGAAGACTTCATAAGGGTGAAGAGGATACTGCGATACCTGAAAGGAACGATCGACTACGGAATAGAATACCAGTTCCAGGAAAACAACCATGTTTTGGAGTGCTTCAGCGATGCTGATCCTGCTGGAGACTCATCGACCGGACATTCTACAACAGGAGTAGTCTGCAGTTTTGGAGGAGGAGTAATTACCTGGCTATGTCAGAAACAATCAAGCGTGGCTATCTCAAGCAGTGAAGCTGAAATTGTTGCAGCGAGTGAAACCTGTCATGAAATCGTTTTGCTGAAACGACTTTTGGAAGAGATAACTACACTGAAGAGTGTGCCAGTTCTCAACATCGACAACGAAGCAACAACACGGTTAGCTGAAAACCCTGAAAACCACAGAAGAACTAAGCATATCAAAATTAGACATTTCTTCATCAGGGAGTTAGTAGCGGAAGGACAAGTCAAGGTTAACCATGTACCAGCTGAGTTCAAACTGGCAGACTGTATGACCAAATCTCTTCACAAGCCATGACTGAAGACTTTGTGGCAAGCTATGGGACTTAACTAGTGACTTTAAACATTCTTTAAATGAGGGAAAAAGTTAAGATATGTGATTATCTGTCATTTCAATAATTTTCCTTTATGTTTTTTTTTTACAGCTGTGCTATTATTATTAATACAGTAGCTTTGTCATATCTATATATATAAAATCCAATGTATGTTTGTTTGTCCTTTATGGGCTCCGAAACCGCTCAACAGATTGTAATGAAACTTTCAGGCATTATTAAGCATTTTTCAAGGATGGTTTGTGTGAAGTTTGGGGCAGATCCGTCAAAAGGGCTCCGCCCCAGTGGCTCTGGAGTTTCCCATGTTAACCTTATGAGTACTCATATTTAAATGGAATTAAAGAATCTTAACAGCTGGTTCAACTAAACAATTTGATTCTGTGATGTTAAATAGCATTAAAAAGTGTAGGTTTACCAACAGGGTGCAGCACTATTATTTTTTAAATTATGACAACAGCTAATTTGCAACCGAAAGGTGAGTGGACGACGTCTGTCGGGCCAGCTAGTAAACAATATAGGCCCCTAATATGAGTTTATAGATGTGATTGTAGTAAGATGTCTTAATACAATTATTCTTTCCTGAATCAAGAGTTATTTTCTTTAATTTCAACATGGCAAACCTCAAATAAAATTCAAAATTGTTTCACCCGCTCGAGGCACTCAAAGGTCGATACAGAAAATAACTGATGATAAAGTTAAATAATACAGGACAGTTACATTTAGTATAACTATTGCTCTGCCCGTAATTCACAACGAGAGAGAGAACACAGAGATGATATTGTGGTCCCTCACTGTCTAATCCAATGCAAACTGCTGGATGATTAGGCGTTATTCTTCATGTAAATAAATTTAATTAATGTCCATATCATAAGGAAAAACACTACCTATACAGATGAATTATTTTTACAATTGAAACACATAAGGCTCCTTTCAAACTTTTAACCAAACGGTTCTTGTTTCACGTAAAAAATTTAGGAAACATTCAAATGCTACAATAATTACTGTTTTTTTTTATTCAGAAAACTTAGCTAAAATGTAAACAACTCATGTAGCCTATACAGAATTAAAAAAATTTAACACAGTAAATACCATCCCAAATCATAAGAATAACGTGCTGTAACTTATTATGGTGCAATATGACAAACAATTATAAGGTTAACTCAGGAAAAGTAAACAAACAATTGTAAACCAAAACAAATGTAATGTAAAGCTGTGGCATCTTTAATATTTTTAATGTGATTTGAAACAACCCTTTAATTTAGCTTTCTACCCTTAGGGAAGGGTAAGTCAAAAAGCCAAGATTTTTCAGGGGAGTTTCTCATCAAGACAGACCAACACATTTTTCATTCTGTTATTACCTTATTACCTTATTACCATCTTCTTGGCCGTTGACCCATCGTATAATGGGAATAGGCTGTGTCTGCGTAAAAAACTACTTATTTATTTCCGCACATATGTATAAGACTCGCAAGTTTAAAATATGTAAAAAAACATAATTTTAGTACTCATGGCGGTCGCTATGTTCTACTTCAGCTCATCCAAACTACCTTCCAGGAATTCCTTTGTTGAGAAGTAGGGATTTTTACGGAAAAAATTTCCTGTGGTGGTTTTAAACTTTCTGCTGGCGAGGGTCTTAGTGGCAGCTGGGAGTTTGTTGAAGAAACGGATGGCGCTTCCAGGGAATAAGTCCCTATTTCTACTGAGGCGAGTGCGAGGAACATCTAGTTGATTTCGGCCTCTTGTATTGTAGTTGTGAATGTCAGCCCTGGCCACCAGGCCCAGTTCATTGTTCTTGATTTCCTGCATGCATGCCCATATGTAGTGGCTATAGATGGTCAAGATGCCCAGGTTTTTGAAGATGGGTTTGCTATGCTCATGGCGATGGCTGCTTGTTATAATGCGCACAGCTTTCTTCTGGAGCTTCAAAACTCTGGCTGCCCCAGCAGCGTGTCCCCAGAGATGTATGCCATAAGAGATATGACAATGAAACATAGCATAGTACACCATAACCAGGTAGGAATCTGTAACACACTTCTTCAATCTCCTCAGTAGAAATATGACACGAGCCAGCTTAGTGCATACATGTTTGACGTGATCGCTCCAGTCCAGTGTTGAGTCAAGGTAGAAACCCAATAGTTTAACACTCCCACCGATGTTGTTTGGGGTGCGTGACAGAGTGCAAGTCAACCAGTTTGTCTTGGTCTCATTTAGTTGCAGTTTGTTTGCCCTGAACCACAGCTCCACATCTTTCAGATAATTTTTCGCCAGTTCCTCTGCAAGGAGCGGTGTTTTCCCTCTGGTATACAAGGTAGTATCGTCAGCAAACAGCACAAGATTTCCATGCCACCCCAAGTCGTTAATAGCAATCAGGAAGAGAAGTGGCCCGAGAACTGAGCCCTGAGGGACTCCGTGCAGAACCTCCCTTTCTGCGGATTTTGCACCCTTTAAGTCAACTACTTGTCTTCTGTCACTTAAGTAGCTACTAAGCATGGAGAGAGCTTTACCTCTGACACCAAAAGCGAAAAGCTTATCAACAAGGATTCCATGGGGAACACAGTCGAACGCTCGACTCAGATCACACAGTGTAAGAGATACTGAGTCGCTGTCTTCAAAAGCGTTTGCGATTTCATCAGCAATGACTGAAACTGCTCCAGTAGTAGACCTGCCCCTCCGAAAACCGTGCTGCGAGTCACTAAAAAGGTTGTTTGACTCAAAGTAATTGCAGGTTTGTTCCTTTATTACTATCTCGAGAACCTTGCCGAGGACAGGTACCAAAGAGATAGGCCTATAGCTAGCCAGAATGTCGGGGTCTCCCTTTTTGTATATAGGCACTGTCCGTGCGATCTTCATGAGTGCCGGAAAAAAACCCTGCTGCAGGCTGTCATTGATAGCTAGGGTGAGGGGTGCAATGATGACATCCGCTACTTCCTTAAGGAGCTTGGTAGACCACCCATAGTAATCGCGGCTCACGGTGCTCTTAAGCCCACTTATAATCTTCCGGACCTTTTCTTCATTTACTTTAGTCCATACGGTCTTACTAAGGTCGGGCTGAAACTCCGGCATCC